TTTTATATTCTTTCTTTTTTTTTTTTTTTTTTTTTTTTTTTTTTATTTGAATTTCACTTTTTCTTCATTATCAGATATACATTTATCATTTTATCATCCGAATAATATAAGTACATATTTAAATATTTTCTTTTTTGATTCTGATTTCTTGGAAAAATTAGCTGAAAATCAAAAAATTAATTCTATTTCATTTATTTCGAAAATAAAACCTACGATTATTTTTGTTCATCTTTCGTTTTCGCCAGACAATTTCGATTTGAGAAAAATTTTCAAAATTTCGAATAAATATAAGAAAAAATGTACATGTAAGAATAATTTACATTTTGATCATACAATTCAAATGAAAATGTTAAACGTGCGTGACAATGAAAGAATCGCATTTAGTCGCGTGCAACCATTGAACGTGTGTACGAACGTATAACTAGTGATTCGAATAACAGCATGCGACAGAGCCGTGAAGCGGTGCCGAAGAGTATATAGTTTTTTGCTAAGGGGGATTTACAGATTGCACACCTGTGCATGGCTCAGCCGAGGAAAGACCTCACCTGTCGAGTAACCGGTCTCCATTGACTTTTTCTTCGTTTACGTACACTCACTTCGTTCTCTGCTCTCCACTCTACTCTCCACTATCTGCTCTTCATCCTTCTTATTTCACCTGTCTCGCTATTTATTTTTTACTTTTCAGTCTCGATATTTAGTTTTTTATTTTGAAATCTTTACTTCCTACTTTTTCATTTTCTATTTTCTTCTCTAGTTAATGTTAGATAATCACAAATATTGATTATAATGTAATATTATAAGTTATGATATAAACTTAGCAAAAATATTTATATGCTATTTCATAAGAAAGTTTACTTATTTTAAAAAATTTGATTTGAAAATTAAATCAGTATATATACAGCATAATGATATATTATATATAGAATAATTTATTTTTCGATCGAAAATCTTCTTAAAATCAATCTAAAATTTTTAACATTTTTTTGTATATAAATGCAAATAAAAAGATTTCACTTTTTATAACAAAGTAATAGAGCGTATTCTATTTCGTATCATTACAAAATTATATTGAAAAAACAAAAATACCAAAAAAACCAAACTTTAAGGATTGATATTGTCCTGTCGAAATGATATTCTATTAATAAAAAAAATTGATTTATATATAATCATTATGATTATCTATATATAACCATAATTACATATTCACAATGTTTTATACAAAATAGAATTATTTTAATAACATAATTTATTAATTAAATTTACAAGTTATATTTATATGACTTATCAATTAAATTAATATAAGCATATAAATACTTGTATGATTAATTGTATATTTTCAATATTATCTTAGAATATAATATCTTATAATAGAATATCTTACAATAGAATATATAATATAAAAAATGAAAAAGTTAATGTTTTTAAAATAATTTACATTGATGATGATGTAAAGAAAATAAGAGAATTATTCTGTTCAAAATCAGTCGTCAATCAGTGATATTTAATAATTGACGTGAGAATCGGTAAAATCGAAATGATGGTTTATGACCAATGATCGATGATCACTTGATTCGAAAATCCATGGGACGATATTTAACGATTGAAATGCGATTTCAGAGGCAAATTATCAGACTGCAGGCAATTACCAGGTGGGGGACCGATATAGAGTGGAGCGGTTTGAGAGTTCCGAGAATCGGTCGTGGCTAAAAATAAGATCCCACCCGGGAGCAGTGATTATGTTCCAAAAAAAGAGAACTGAGCGAAACGTTCTCTTCGGCGTGTACAGGTGCCGCCAATGAGTCGAAGGCAAAGGGACAAACGAGAAACTGCCGTGTGTTCGAGAATCTCGCATTGCCCCGCATAAGAAGAACCCTCTTGTCTCACATATTGCTATGCAGTACCGTGCCGTGCTGTGCTGCTCTGCGCTTCAGCTCCGCTTAATGAAGTTGTCGGTTCAGAACGTTTACAGGTGGGGCCTACCTGCGTGTGGTCCATTCACAACGATTGCCGCGGGACTGGTTAGGAGTGCTTTACATCTTTACTTTTACCTCACGAACTGCTTCGAGTTCGTCGAGCCTCGAGATATTCTTTGCTTGAACAGGATTGATCGTTGTTCTCATCGTCATCGTCTTTCTTGTCGATGATAATCGTTGTCATTATTATTAAAGTCGCAATTGTTTGTTGCTGTTTCCGCGGTAAAATTGACAGAAAACGATTATTATTATCAAATAAATACAACGAAATAGCTTGTAAAAAGAGATTTGAAAGAAAGAATACAGAAATATTAAAACGTTTAAGTATGAATATTATTTATCTTAAGAAAATCAGCAAATGAGTCATTAATACATAGACATATTTTGAATAATCGATGAATTTAATACATCGCATTGTGATCCAGGTTTCTCTCTGTTAATCATTTGCACAGCCTCGTTTTTCTTGCTTTTCTTTTTTCTTCTCTGTTTTTTTTTTTTTACTTCCTTTCTCTGTTGTTTTTTAAATATAATTTTTTTCTCTTTCGATATTCGCTATATTTTCTTTTCTTTATTGTAGTTTTATGCACAGTTTTATGCACTACAAAGTATATATATATACTAAGGATATAATATACAGTATTATTGACATGCAGAATTAAATAATCAATCATTTTTCACTAGAATAAATTCTAAACTAACTAAATTTCTAAACTGAATTCAAACTGAAAATGATACTCATATATTTTCATTATTATTCTTTTTATAAATTATTTTTATCTTCTTAAATTTATTTATTTACTTTTTTCCAGACCATGCATCGGCAACAGAGGATTCGATCTTCGTTATCGTCATCTTTATTATCGTTGCCACTCTCGATGTCTCGATCATCCATTCTACCCGCACCGCTGTCACCAACTACATCAATGTCGTCTGTGACAACATCAACTTCAACTTTGTCATCACCGTTATCATCGTCATCCATCTTTTTACCATCGTCCGCAACATGGTCGACATCCAATTTATCGTCATATTCTTGGAGTGTGCAACAAACCTCGTGTTCGAGGTTATCCTCGTTGCCAAGCGAATTGTCGATCATGTCAACAATACCCTGTCCAAGACTTGTTTCTGTGTTAGCCTGGTCTGTGACGCTTTTACTTGTTTCATCATGTATCGGTTTAACGGATGCTGGCATCTTAAATGGACATCCTTTGGGTAAAAGGTCCTTTATTGATATTCAATGTAAGGGTATATATGATAAAAGTATCTTTGCCCGGCTGGATCGAATCTGCGAGGATTGTTATAACCTGTTTCGAGAACCTCAATTGCATCAATTATGCAGGTAATTATTCATTAAAAGACTTATTGTACTTATTATATATGCATATATTTATTTAATGTATTTATTATAACAAATTTTTAATTTTAAGTAGATTCAGATAACCATCGACAAAAATAATTAATAGATAAAATTTTATTATCATTATTAAATAATATGCACATTGTTTCGAATATATAATATATTGTCTTGAATACATTTATATATTTGCGGCAAACTCGCAAATATCCTTTTTTATTTTGATAATACATAAACATAATAATATGTTCATTATGTTTAATATTTCGGAATATTACAATATATTTTTCATGTGGAAACATTAACATTAATAACGTGATTAATAATTGAACATTAATAATTTATTAAAGATTTTCTTTCATTTTCATTTTCCATTGTTAAATATTCTAAATTCAAAATATTGAATTTTCAAAATTTTGATAGTAATACATATGTAATCACAATTTTTTGTTAATAACATAATCATATATCACAAGTTCAAATAGAATATCAGAATACATAGATTGTTGAGAGCTAAATATGCAAAGAGAAAAGAATAAATATTGAAATATATTTATAAATTATTATAGATGTAAATGGATATTATATGTGATATTTTTAATTGTTATTTCCTTCAATTATAAAATATATAATTTATATCGAAGGTTATCTCAAAATCGTTGTCTTACATTTATTTAAGAACGAATGATGAATATTTCACTATACTTTCAGATCTAGGACGCAAGATACATCACAAATTCATCAAATTATATTTAGCGTTATATTTTGAAATCTTTTCCAGGAAAAACTGCTTTACATCAGACTACTTCAAAGGATGCTTAGACGTATTGTTATTGCAAGATGAAGTAGAAAAGATCCAAACATGGATCAAGCAACTTCATGGAGCGGAACCCGGGGTTTAGGTAGCTTTTTATTTTATGTTTATGATTTCTTATCCGCGCATTTTCATTTTATGGCTTTATACATATTGTACACCAAACGCATTTGCTTCTCCCTTTTCCCTTTATTTTTGATCAGTCCTCTTAATCACCCTATCATTTTTTTCTGTTTTATCTTTTTCATTAAAAAATTTTCCATCCTATTTAAATTTTGATAAATATCTTCCTATAGTTTTTATATAGTTTTCAATTTTTACTTTAAATCTTTCTCTTTTTTCTTTCTCTTCAGTTTTTTTATTTTACAATTCTTTAGTTTTCTCTATTTTTTGGTTACAATCTTTTTGTTTTCGTTGCTCGTTAACAAACTCTTATTACCGATAGTTACCAGCATTTACCATCGAGCTAGTTATTTTCTCATCGACGCATATGGTTTACTTTTGATGTCATCTCAAGAATTTACGAACCACAACTCAACGATGCATATGATACGTACGATGATACGCGATATTCGCGCATGCTGTATGTTCCTTTAGGTAATTTTCAGCAGATTTTGCAACAAAAAAATAATATTGTTTAGTATTTGATCGATATACCTATTTTAATATATATTTCGTTAAATACATTATTTTAATATATACGCATTTTACTATGCGTATTGGAAATAATAGTTTTTCAAACTTTTTATTCGATAGCATTTTCATTTTTACACTTTTTATCTTTTTATGATGTATAACACATCGTTTTTGCACACATTTTTCAAATTTTTGTCACGCATTATCGTGCCTCGTTGAAAATATATTTTTTGTGTTAACATAATTTTTCAGAAAACATGATCAGTATAGGATACCAAAGGATAAGACAGCAAAATGGAGAATAATAAAACATATTTTTGCAACGTTCAAATATTTTTGCAGGTTTTCTTGTCGGAAGCAGTTATGTATTTTTTGATCTCCTTGCAATTGCAATTTTTTACGATAAAATCGTATCTGTTATGTTTTTTTTATACATTTTATACTTCGTCAGAAGGTGTAATAAATGGATGGCACTTTTTTCAATTTCGAGTTATTTAATATTTGTTCATGTTGGCGGATTCGTTTGTATTTACTTATATTATGTATATAAGAAAACATATATAATAATATCAATCGTAAAATTTGTCAAAAATAATAATGATGAGAAAATTAAAACGTAAAACAAAACTAAATAAAATCAAACAAACGGATCTTAAATTTTTCTTTTTCATTATTTCTTTTTTTCTTTTCTTTCTTTCTTTTTTCTATAATAATTTACAAAAATTTAATTTGCATAATTTAATTATTTTTTTTTAATTTAGGCAAGACTGCTTTGGTACGGAATATTTTACAAGCTGTATTCAAGCATTGCTGCTTGAAGATGAAAAGGAAAAACTTTACGAAATGGTCGAGTACCTAGGTCGCAAGAAGTAAGAGGAAGAGAACACAGAAGCGCTTTCATCGTGAAGGCTTTCATTTTTATGACATCTGCGATGAATGATTTTAATAAGACCAACGAGAAACTATAAGAAACAACGAGAAACGAGAAATTATAAGAAACAATTTTCATAAAAAGGTTATTGTTACGCAGAATTGTGAAAAACATATAATATTCGTTTATCCTACTTCTTTTATGAAGTCCGAAAGAATACTCTTAAATTCGAGCACGCAATCATACCTTTTCCATTCTCTTCTATGATACATCATATAGAACAACAAAAATGATATTATCGGAGTAACTAATAATTGCTATACATATACACATATTTGTATATATTATATGTATATGTGTATTGTATATATTATATGTATATGTGTATTGTACATATATGTTATATCATATATGTTATATGTATACATATACAAATATGCGTATATGTATACATATTTACATTCATCCGGAAAAGAAAAGGAGAAAAAGACAAAAAGAGAGAGCGACAAAAAGATATAAAAGAGGAAGAAAAAAAGAAAAGGAGAAGAGGAGCGGGGAAGAGAAGAAATGAGCGGAAGAGCATATGCGAGCGAGCAAGCGAGAGAGGGGGAGGGGGGGGGGAAGAGAGAGAGAGAGAGAGATAGAGAGAGAGAGAGAGAGAGAGAGAGAGAGAGAGTAAGTAAA